TTTGGTCTTTTAACCTTTGACATTTCCTCTAGCCTCTTCATCAAATAAATCTGATGCATGTTTTAAACTTCTCTGCCATTTTCTCATTTTTTACAATTAGCTGTAGATCCATATTGGGTAAGGTGTTCAGTATGTGCTGGCAGCTGTGTCTTATGGCTCAGCTTGGGGCTACGTTTTAGGGACAGTTTCCAAAGCTGGGCCAGTGATGACATGGCCGGACTTCACAGGCAGAGTGTTAGCTGAAGTCCATGGGACCTTCTGAGGCATGACCTTGTCTCTTAACAGGCAAGAAATCTTGACTGTGTCAAAATAAATATAAGCAAAAGTGTCTCACAAATGATCCCTGGAAAAGCAGGCGTTCCTTCTATTGGTTATTTTCTCCTCCTCCTGCCCCCAGTGCTGGTCCTCCCTAAACCCCTTGCAGCTGTACACTTAATTGGCTTTTTTTTTTTTTAAGGAGCTCTGGTTACAAATAGAACCCACTTCTTGTTCTTTAGCCGGTTTTGGGTGCGTAGTGCATTCTAGGCCAAAGCAGGACTTTAAGTGGGTAGAGGAGCTTGGTTTTATCTTAGGCCCCAGAGATGGCCATATAACAGCACCGTGTCCCCTGGGTTCACAGGAGGATTTGTAATGCTACTTGGGCAGCTGAAGAAGACTAGGGAAACCCTAGGCTGACTGAGATCCTGTAGTTCTGTACCTCTGGGCGGTGGTGGGCTGGTGGGAGAGAGTGAGGCTTTACGTTGGACTTATTCTGGAACTGGAGTGACCGTTGCCAGATACAGATAACACTGGAGGGACAGTGATTTCTTTTTTTTTTTTAAATCACACCGTGGAGTGATGGAAGTGTTTTAAAACTAGATTGTCGTAATGGTTGCACAACTATAAATTTACTAAAAATCATTGAACTGTGTACTTAAAATGAGTGAATTTTATGGTATATAAATTATACCTCAATAAATATACATATTTGTAAAAGGATAACACCAGAATGCAAACCCAGGCCTCCCAAGGCCTTCCATCATCAGACTTCTGTTGCTCATTGCTCCTCTATTCTTTGAAAACGAAGGGTGGTATTAGAGAGATGGAAGGAGAGAGGTGGTGGGGGCGGACGGTAACCTTTGTCAGTGATGTTACATTGTGGATTTGGAGAGTACAGGAGAGAGCATGGGGAGTTTGGAAAGGGGCTTTAGGTCCGAGGACAATTCTTACCTCTTTCAAGCAGAAGATTATGTGTTGGGCAGTGACTTAATAAATTAAGCAAGCATGCTCAAGTTTCCTCCATTCTGAAAACAAACACACTTCCCTCATTTCTTCTAGCTCCATCCCTGACTTCCTTTGATGACTATATATATATGTGTGTGTGTGTGTGTGTGTGTGTGTGTGTGTGTATGTGTGTATGTGTGTATGTGTATATGTAAATTAATATATATGTAAATTAATGATATGTAAATTATTTTTATTTTTGAAAGAGTAGCCTACACTTGCTGCTGCTGTCAGTTCATTTTGTTCACTTCTCAGCTCCTTGCCCTCTACCCTCCATTCCTTTCATTTTAATGAAATGGGTCTCCAGAATGTAACAGATACAAATCTCAGTTGTCAAACTCAGGTAGGAAAGAACTGTAACTTTTTTTTTTTCTTTCCTATAACTGAACGTAATGTCTGTTTTGATCCTTTACTGGTTTTATTTTTATTTTTATTTTTTTAATTGTACTTTAGATGAAGGTTTACAGAACAAATAGTTTCTCATTAAACAGTTAGTACGCATATTGTTTTATGACATTGGTTAACAGCCCTACGACATGTCAACACTCTCCCTTCTCGACCTTGGGTTCCCTATTACCACCTTTCCTGTCCCCTCCTGCCTTCTACTCCTTGTCCCTGAGCTATTGTACCCTATTAGTCTTGTTTTGTTTTAAGGGCCTGTCTAATCTTTGGCTGAAGGGTGAACTTCAGGAGTGATTGCAGTACTGAGCTAAAAGGGTATCCAGGGGCTTGATACACTGTTTTGCCAGGTGGCCTAAACTTAATCTCTGTAAATTCAAGGTTCTTAGCCCTTTCCCTTGTGTTCTGGGGACTTCCCCAGGGCCTTGCATTATGGGGCAGAAGGGCCATATTGTTCATGGAGTGGTTGAGCCACACTGCTGAAATGGTGTAATGCCCTTCTAAAAGCGCCTTGGTCTTCTATCCATTCAGGTAATGTGGTCACTTGTTCTCTAGCCCAAGGCCTTGCCAGCTCTGGATCTCTCAGCCACTTCTGGGGCTGGGAGGTGGAGGCCTGTGCAAATTTCAGGACCCCTTCTCAAGGACATACCCTAGGGTTTAACCCATTTTTGCTTCCTCTCTGATTCTCCTGTGCTTACCATCTTGGGATCTTTGTTAGGGACAGGGAGCCCCATAGACTACTCCTGTGGCCTTCTAGGAATCCCTGGGTAGTACAAACAGTTAACACACTAAGCTGCTAATCGAAAGGTTGGAGGTTTGAGTCCACACAGAGGTGCCTCGGAAGAAAGTCCTGTCAATCTACTTCTGAAAAAAATGAGCCATTGACAACCTTATGGAACACAGTTCTACTTTGACACACATGGGATCACCATGAGTCAGAATTGACTCAAAGTCAACTTCTTAGTGTCTTCCAGACTGTCATTGATGCCCTGGCCTAGGTTGCTCTAACCCAGAAGCCTAGGATCCGACAGTCCTACTCTGCATTCCTTTATGCCACACCTTCCCTGAGGTAGTGAATGCCACTGACTGAATAAGGGGAGTGGTGGTCAAGAAGTATTAAGAAAATCCCTAAACAAACAAACAAAACCCCACATCAGCTAATAGTTCCGGATACTTTCCTCCTCCATGGAGATAACCAGTGTGAGTGTTGTGGTCTGGGTCCTTCTCGTCCTCATCCTCTTTACCACATCTTATGCTGTCAAACATCCCTTTCTCAACACTCTTTCACGCCTTGGCTTCTGGGACTATTATGGATCGAATTGCCCCAAAATGTGTGTCAACTTGGCTAGACCATGATTCCCAGTACTGTGTGATTGTCCACCATTTTGTCATCTGATGTGGTTATCCTATGTGTTGTAAATCCTCACCTCTATGATGTTAATAAGGCAAGATTAGAGGCAGGTATGTTAATGTGGCAGGACTCAATCTACAAGATTAGGTTGTGTTTTAAATCAATCTCTTCTGAGATTAAAAGAGAGAAGCTAGCAGAGAGACAGGGGGATTCATACCACCAAGAAAGCAGCACCAGGAGCAGAGTGTGTCCTTTGGACCTGAGGTTCCTGTGCAGAAAAGCTCCTAGTCAAGGGGAAGATTGATGACAAGGACCTTTCCCCCAGAGCCGATGGAGAGAGAAAGCCTTCCCTTGGAGCTGGCACCCTGAATTTGGACTTCTAGCGCTCTAGACTGTAGAGAATAAATTTCTGTTTGTTAAAGCCATTCACTTGTAGTATTTTTGTTATAGCAGCACTAGATGCCTAAGACAGGGACATAGTTAATATTACCGTATTTTATGAAAATAACGCATGCCTTCTATGTTTGTTTGCCAACCACGCCCTCCCCCTACCCATCCCAAGGTATCTTCATAAATGACCTATGCTAATTATTTTTACAACAACATGTAAAAAATATTGGCACAGTGGCACTTATGAAAATACCTCGTGGGGGAGAGCGCGGTTGGCAAACAAATGTAGAAGGCCTGCATCACTTGGGTAAAAAATATGGTAGATCTTCTATCTCTCCTACCCTTGCTTTTCTGCTTCTTCTGGTTTTTCTTCCTGCCTCTACAGGAACTACCAGGGTTTTATCCTGGACCCTCTTATCTTCTTTTTCTCTGCTTTCTCCTTGGTGAATGCATCTACTTCCATAATTTCAAGTTCCCTTTCTAGGTAACTTGTTTCCAGATTTACGTCTCCAGCTATAAGCTCTTTCCAAGCCCCAGGCCAGTATTTCCTGA